CGAGGGTTAGCTTGTAGGCTTACTTGTGACTGAAATAAGCATACAGTGTGGAAAGAGACATGACAAACTTGGTAAATAAAATAATGGACAGGCCATGCTCAGATTAAGATCAGTGTTGAATTCTAACTAAAAGCTTGTCACCCGAAGTAGCTATACAATGAAAATATATCAACTCACTTGCCACTCCAAAGCCTGCCACCAGATGCAGCTTGTCAATTTCCATTCACTGATAGGATTATTGTCAAATGGGTAGTCAAATTTCTCTGCTAATGTTCACCTGTATTTGCAGCTACTGTCCGGACTAGCATCACCATCTCAGCTCCATCTCAAATTATCAGTCATTAGATATCTATCATAGGGAGTGCAACCTAGATCCCCTGAATGTGCAGTTCACAGTAGGGCTCAAGTTCCTCTGAGAATCTAATGCTGCTACTAATCCGATAGGTTGAGCTCAAGCAGAAATGTAAGTGACGAGGACCAGGTGTAGCTGTAGAGGAAATTTTACTTGCTGCTCACCTGCTGCTCACCTTCTACTGTGTTGTGTGGCCCAATTCCTAACGGTACACAAACCAGTACAAGTCCATGGCCCAGGCATTGGGAACCTCTGCATTAATGAATTGATTCCATTCATTTGGCCACTAGAGTTATCTAGATATAAAATCTGAGCATAGGTAAGAAGTGACAAGAATGAGAAGGCTGTACAGTGAAAAGGAGGAAGAAATGTAGTCTCATGGGGAAGAAACAAAGCTCCAGCGGTTCAGATGGGAGAGGTCTGGGGATGGTTTTGTTAGGACTTTGCTGCCCAAAGTGCAGTCCTGAAACTAGCAGCATGGAATTCAACCGGAACTCCTGAGACATACAGACACTCAGGCCCACCTAAACCTATGGAATCAGGACCTGCATTTCGATAATGTCCCTCCGTGATGGGCATGTGTGGTTCAGTTTGAGAAAGGTTAATTTAAAGGAAAAGAATGAGTCAAAAGTTACCCCAGGCTTTGAATGAATGTGAAGTTAGAGCAGAAAGAATGGTTTTTGGTGATAAGTAATTTGTTCTTAAACAAGCTTACTATAAGGCAGCTTAGGCTGAGTAGAAAATTGACCACTAATGGAGAGTCTTGGCTTGACCAAACTGTAGTCAGGTTCCTGAACTTTCTACTTGGTCATCTGTGTACTTCCTTACAAAATCCTATTTTACCAAGCACCCTGCTAAGTCAGTTTGACAAGAATCCTCCACTCTTGTTATCTATCATTATTTGTTCCTTCTCAATATCTGTTTGCTTGTATCCATCATCTTCTAAGCAATGTTTGATCACTCTGGCTTGTCTTCAGCAAAAATCCTGGTAGATTGATTTAGCTAGCATAACCCTTTATCCCTGAAGTTTCTTTTTAATAATTTTCCATTCATTGACCCCACCCTGCCCCTTGGCCATAAATTCCTGCTTTCCTATCCCGTATTTGGAATCAAACCAGTCTATACTGAGGATTTTTTCCCCCTCTACTGCAATAGTACTGAATAAAATATGCTTTTTCTGCTCTACCCACTATCCAGCTCTGATTTTTCTTTGACACCATGTGGTAGTTGAGAGTAACTCGACTATCCTTAAACCCCTTCTCTAACAACTAAGAAAACTGGGGCCTGCTTGGCTCAGTGGAGCCCTGAAACGTTTTCTAATTTCCTGTCTCCTTGCTGAGTTCTGAGTGCAGGTCACCACTGGCCTGGTCCCTGAGCTCTCTCAGCCTGGTCCTGTGATCTAACCCACTGTGCTTTAGTGTCTTTCTTCATCAGAACATGATCTTCAAGCCACACATTCTAGGATTAATAGGGCTCAGTCCTTAAGGTACCACAATCTCCTCACTGCATACTTGCTAGCAGCTGATGACTTTAAATAACCCAGATCAGAAATTCTAGGAAAACTGCATGTCAGGTGGTTGTCAGGATGGAGTTAGAAGAGTCTGTGGACTAATATTTGTGAAGCACTTAGAAAGCTTTGAGTAAAAGGCACTAAACAAATACAGGGTGCTCTGTCACTTGTAAAAATCTGTCTCTTACCAGACTCCAAAAATATAGAGGCATTTGCAAAAGGAAATGTCAATATGATTGAAATGTACAAATTATCTTTTCACAAGAGGAAGACATACTTTGCAAGGAGGTTGAGAAGTGATTGGCAAGGGAGGTTGTAGAATGAGGCAGAGAGTTTTGAAGCTGACCTGATCAGACAGAACTGTGGCTCAATAGGAAATTCAGGGAAAAAAATTACATTGCTCCAAACTTAAACGTCATCGAAAGAATGCGTGTTCTTATTTTCTTTTTCATGAGTATTTTTTTTTCTGCGTTGATATAAATACCAACTTGACCTTCAGTCCTTGCAGCCTAATCAGGGTTCACCTGTAGCATCTGAATGGACAACATTAGATTAATTCACTCAACAATATTATCAAATAATATTTATTTAAAATCTTTAGTATGCGACTCTCTGTTCCAGGTTCTGGAGACATAGCAGTAAGTAAAATAGAAAAAAATAATCCCTGCCCTTGTATAATGCACATTTAGAAGGGGAATGGCACAAAGTAATAAGTAATAAGCTATGTAGCATCTTAGAGGGTGATGGGTCTACGGGAAAATTAGAGCAGAGTATGACAGATTGTGAATGCCAAGTGAGGGCAAGAGATTACAAAAGTAAATAGGACAATGTGGAAAGACCTCAGTGGAAACGCCACAGCTGATCAAGAACTAAAGCAGGTTAGGTGGTGAGCCAAGTTCAGGAAAGGAATTCAGGCGCAGAGCATGCAGGACAAAGCTCTGAGGCAGAAACACACCTCAGCAGGTTTGAAAACAACAGGAAGCCAATATGAAGAGAGAGAAGCGAGCTAGGAGAAAGGTGAGGGGAGATGAGGTCCAGGAGGTGTTGGGGTGGGGACTCAGGGAATAGGACAGGAGCGTGAGGACAGTGGCAAGGGTGGCAAGGGATCAAGAACAAAGCGTTTGGACAGAGAGCAGGGAGCAAGCGAAAGGCATGGCAGCAACTAGCGTTTGAGTAGATCTTTAAAACTGGCAGAGCTCTTCACTGCACTGCCTTTGTTCAAATTGGGTTTGTCCTCCCTGAGCACCTTAGAGTTAGTTTCTCGTGTGACCTTTTTTCACCCTTATAATTAATTCCCCGTGTTGCAGGTAAAGGCAATGAACAACCAGTTGACTGGAGTTCTTGCTTTTGACTCCACATCAAGAACATTGAAGTTGGAACTTGGACACAGGTCCATTTATCTAACCCCACCTTTCTGTGTTGTCACCTGTGAGCTTACAGTAGCCACCAAGTAGCCACGTGCTGGAGACGTCGTGTATCGTTGCTCAGGGCCTATTGGTAAAGTGGATCTGGCATAGAACAGACCTTCATTCAATCTCTGCTGTGAGTCAAAGCAGTCAGTCTTTACTGACTATATTATGACAGACCTCAGTAATTACCAGAAAAGATGGAGAGTTGGACTCTAATCATGGCTTATTTAAAAGCTGGGTCAGGTTGAGGGATGACAATTTTAAATCAATGAAATAGAACAGGAAATGTTAGAATAGATTTCACATAGACACCTAAGTATTGTTTGTGAAAATTTGTTACACATGTAGATATGAATGCATAGATGTTATTTATCTAGAAAGAACTAAGCAGATATCTTCCTGTATGTTTTAAATTCTGACAGAAAATATTTTACTTACCAACAAAAAATTTGGAAGCTGCTTGAATAAGTGTAATTGTCCTTAGGGTGTTCTAGTAGAAGATTAAGATTTATTTGAATGAATGTATCGCTTTTGGTGGGTGTTTGGGAAAAGAGAGGAAGATTCAGTTGGAGTGACTGATATAAAATAGTATATTAAAAAAGAAAATATGAAAGAAGTATACCTTAGCCCAAAGATTCCAGTCTCCCTCCCACATCCTGTTTTCCTGTCTGCACACCATCATTAAACCCCACTCCGCAGAATCCTGTAAGATCAGGACCTCATCCTACCCTCCATAGGAGTCCAAGACCAAGCATATGAGCTGTCAATGCATATGCATTTCATAAATAGACTAAAATTATGCACCTCTGGGTCTTTGCTTTTAGGTTCACAAATTTTTGTTTATTTAAACACTTAAGATGTTACCCCATCCAAGAGTGGCCACATCTTAATGGAAATTTCCTTAAGATTAAAAAAAAAAAAACCCTGCAAAATCAAATTCACCAGTTTCTACTGGTGAATGTCAGAAGTCGTGGGAAATAATGAGAGGTGTGTTTTTTAGAGGGATCTGCAAATTCTCATAAATTGTGCTACCATAGAAGCCACTTATTCCTAAGGCTGGGTGTGCTCATTTCTTTGGCCAGAGGAGCTGAGCTATCAGGCAGATAGTTTATCTGTGCAATCATGCAGTGAACACACACTGAGTACTTACTCGGTGCAGGCACTGTACTTGGCGCACCTACACTTGCCTGGTAGACTGCAAAGTCAGTGAAATCAACATCCCGCCTCCTGAATTGTTTTCAGTTCAAACAGTAGCAGGCAAAGATAAAGATGGTATAATAAATATTTGGGCCTTGGGGTCATGAAGGTAGTTACACCTTATTGTTTCCAGCGAAGGCAGAAATTTGAAATTTATTTTACTTTGTTTTCCATTTTTAAATTGTTTCACTGCTTATGTCTTTTTCTTCACAAATCAAATTTGGAAAGACTTTCTAATTTGAGAATATCAAGGTGAGAGGATCAAAATAAAAAACTTTCTAGGAATTTCTTGAACAAAATTTCATTATAATATATACAATATACAAGTATACATGACAGAACAGTATTAAGAAAAGCTCTATACTTAAATACAACCCCAAAAGAAATCCATGTTCTAAGGTGAATTCTGATATTCTACAGAATTTTGTCTTCTTCATATTGTTGAATATTTTACAAGGACATATTATTGTTCCCCCTTTTCCCTCCTATCTACCTTTATTTTCTCAAGATATTTAATAGAATATATTCCTACCAAAGATCCATTCCAGATGGGACAAGCAATCCATGCACTCCATCCTGTGAACCAAAACTTGCAAGAAAAGACGGGGAAGAAAGCAATAACTCCAGAAAATATACTGAGACTACCCAGAGTAGTGAGAGTCTGGCCGGCAGTTTGATACAGGACCTTCATTTTTCTCTGTCGCTTGAGTCCTTGGTCTCAAAGATGTTTTGTTACCAAAACATGAGGCTATGATAGCCCTCAGTAAACAGAAGTTTCTTGGAGACAGTAGCCACGACACACGTGGACTGTTGATCCACTTGGAAACAAGATTCTATTTGTTTCACCAAAGGCAAAATGTAATAACATAATCCTTGACATAAATTAGACACAATAAATTCTATTACTGGCTTATGATTTCTTGCTTTGGAGTTGATGCCTTGATTCCCTTCTTTCTGGCCTGTCTTGGGGAGAGGAGTGACCACTTCCTTGCTTAATCAGATTCAAAGGCTCCCTGACTGAACTAATTGTTTTTCAACTCAACCTGTCTAGTTGTTCCAGAATAAAACCAACATCCTTTGTGCACAATAGATCCACATTCCCAGCACAATTTCCCACAAAACGAAGTAAAAATAAGCAGTTGGATCACTTCTCATTTCATTTCATTTAAATGATTTAAGGCAAAAGTGTGAAGCTTTTGCCTCTTTTCAAAATGTAATTCCTCTGTAGTTATTTTTGATGAAGATTTTTGATATGGCTTCCTCCCCACACAGGCAGAGGTTTTACTATGCAATTCTGCATTGTTTTCATAGACTGACTGCACCCTAGCTATTTTATTGTTATTGTTAATTCAATTTTCAAGTAAAGTAAAAAGATGGATGTATATAGTTGTAAAACACAATGCATTTTAAGAAGTAATTTATCAATTAAAAAATACTGATCTCTATTCTTGAATCATTCTACTTTGAGATGTTTGGCTTATTTACAGTTAAGCAATTGTAAGTTATCTCAATTTTTTTTGTACCAGGGATTAAACTCAGAATCTCCTAATTTTTAATGCATTTGAGAAAGTGGTATTTGATTTTGACTAAAAGGATATGTTTGTATGTCTCTTCCAAGATAGTATATTGAAGATACAGAACACATTCTGAAGCTGTGTAATTTTTCTATTCCATAATAATACCATTTTTCTTAAGTAAAATGATGAAAATAATGTGCATGGATATTTAGTGGTTTACAATATGAATTTGGGATCACATAAAATGGGGATCTGATAGGTCTACTCTCTGCCGGGTTTGAGTTCTTAAGGAATGGCAAGTAACTTAACTTTTCTGGGTCTGTTTCTTCATATAGGAAAAGGGAATAAATTAGTGTTTATCTTATGAAAAGTCTGAGAGAGCAAGTGAACCAATATGAATGCTTAAACTGAGCTCAGCCCAGCAAAGATGTTCAGCAAGTCACCTGTTATTACATTGGGTCATTCTGTCTTTAATTTGGCATGGAATAAATGCACAGTCAGTATTGTTGCTTCTTTCCATTATCTTATAAATTTTAGATTTGATTTTACTTGATTAATTTGGTAAAAGCTCTCTGAGGACCCTTCATGAGCAGTGGGAAGCTTGCAGTGGCAAGAAGCTTTTTTCTGAGTCTTTGCTTTTTTCTTTCGACTTTCTGTCTTTAATTAACCATTAAACGGGCTGACACAGATTTTGACACGGTTGCATTCCTGGATATACAAAATCCAGGAAATCAGCTCAGGCTTTCTGGTATAGCTGCTGTTTCCCATCTCCTCTCCGCACTGTGGGCTGTAGTCTCTGATTTTTTTCTAATGGCATTAGATACACAGTATTCTGCCAGGGCACAGACTTAGTGAGTCTCATACATCCCCTCAATATATAGGACGTCTCCAGGGCTGGGGATTTAGCTCAGCGGTTCGGTGGCCTGCCTTGCAAGTGCAAGGACCCGAGTTCGATCCCCGGTACCACAAAAAAACAAAACAAGACATCTCCAAACCCTAGAACTGCACCTGGCACAAAGTAAGCACATAAGGCAATAAATATTGGCTGAACAAGTTAATTAATAAGTTAGACTTCTCAGCAATACATTTAGGGACTCAGGGAGCTGCTCAAGATTAGATCTGATTGTGTTCACCGTTGACAGTGCTAATGCCATTTTGTTTCCTTGAGGCCAGGCGAAGGAATCTGCAGTGAAGACAGTCTTGTTGGTGTTAATATTTCATTTAAGCTGTTTTGACTTTTTCCTTTCCTTCTTATCTCAAGGTTATAGCTACATGGTATGTCAACATAGTGTGGGTCAGACCACTCTCTCCTGTTTGCATATTTGGAAAATAAAGACTGTTGAAATACTCATGTTAAACAGTACAAAGATGGCAAAGAAAGAAGATTTTTTTTTGTTTTAATTTTTGGGGACTTTTAAAGTGCCTGCAACCCTAATACTGTTGATGTACTCGTAAATCTGAATTTATTAGTGATTAGGTGTTGCCACTTATAACAGAGAGAAGGAACAGAGGAAGAAGTAGAGATGGCTGTGTTTTCTCACAGGAAAATCCCATTCACTCTAATTTCATTACAGTAAGAATACTTTCGGTGGGAGCAGCTCCTGGGAAAGTAGAGACCCTGTAATTCCTGCTTCCTTTCCATCAGCTATGTCTCTGTGTGCCTAGAGCACCAGCAGCCAGGATGGTTAGAGGGCCGCTGTCTCCTTTCACACCTCTGCTTGGCACTAACTTACTGGAAGATGAATCTGTAAGTTCTCTTCAGAGTTGTGATGAGGTCAAAGTCTTTGCAGGCTTCACTGTCTTACCAACCCAGGATACCCCGAGATCTTTGTCCTGGAAAGAATGGTGGAAGGTCCCCCAAATCCTTCTATCCAGCATTGCCATTAAAAACAAAACAAATTCAACCTGACATTTTGATTCCAGTACCTCCTGCCAGTAGTGATCAATCAACTTATCAAGGCAGAGGGCAACCTGAACTCCCAAGGTGGTGGGAGAATGTCAGGTAAGCTGAGGGAGGGAAATTGATCTGGACATCCCTCTACCTTGTTAAAATACGTTCCTTCACACAAGAGCCTGAAAAATGACAGCTCTGAGAATGCTACAGTGTTGGGGGTTTAAAAAGTTTTCAACTCTGTGGAAAGGATTTATTTTAATCAAAAAATAGATAAAGGAAAAAAGAAAGAAAATGCAGCTCTCATAGGTAGCTAAATAAATTTCTCTATGTCCCAACTGCTTCAGACGACTAACTTTGTTTTCATATTAGAAATTTGGTGCATGTAGTGGAAAGAGCAAGAACTTTAGGGTCACAAGGACTTGGGTTTGATACTGAAGATCCCATCTGGTATATTAAAGAAGTATGAAAGAAATTAGAAAAATTAACACTCAGCTAATGCCAGTGCAGGCAAAGATTATCAGTGAATGCTAAAACCACTGGATGAGCAGTTATCACTTTAGCCCAGTGATCAAACTTTACAGTATCCAATAATAGGACAAATCACCACCTCTTGATATGATACAGTACAAGTACAAATCCCTGGGTAGGAGTTTTTGTAAAGATGTTTAGCCTGAACCTAACAAAAAAAGAAATAATTAGACAAATTTAGACCATAGACATTTTGCAAAACAAGTCTGGACTTTTAAACATCCAAGTCCCAAAAGATGATCAAAGGGTTACTGGCGCAATCAGTAATTTTAAGTATGGAGTTTATGTTCGATAACGCTAGAGTGTCACTGTTACATATTTGGGAGCTCAAATGGCATCATATTTATATAAGAAAAATGTCCTCTTGGACATCAGGTAGATGATGTTAGTGCTCTTTATGCTTCTTTCTGGTTTTCTTTAGTTTTAAAACTTTCAGGTTAAAAATTGAGAGAAGAGGACCTTAGGGGCAGAGCACTTCCCTTACATGTGTGAGTCCCCGGGTTTGATTCCTAGCATAGTTAAAAACAAAAACAAAGAAGAAAATAAATTTAGACTTATCACTGTATAAAATTAAAGACTGAAGTTTTACCCAGGCATAGGGCCATAATGGCTCAGTTACCCTCGATTATATTGCTGAATGTGCATCTTGCTGTGGACCATGCAAAAGCTGCTCCGCCCCCTTCAGCCCAAGACGGGATCAGTCTTCCTAGAATGAGAATGATGGAATAGGTGTACTAGGCCGTATGGGAAGGAGGCCCACACATAAAAACACAGTGCAATGTATATATATGCATTTATGTATATACTGTGAACATATACTGCATATATTGTCTAGGTTTCTATTCCAGTGTCTTTCCAAATAGTTCAGTTTCTTCTGTATTGGGATCAATTATAGTTCAGTTTGCTAACTGCATTAAAAAGTTTTCCCATGCTTATTCATAACTCACTCTTCCCTCTGCTTTTTACTAGCTATTCGACTTCAACTTTGAGTGAACCCGCTCTTCTCGTAATGGCTTGGGGCTTAAGGAGAGCAAAGTTCAATTTTTATCATCCCTAAGTGGGAATTGTCAAATTTAAAGCCTTCCAATCTGTAAAATGTTTGGACTAAAATAGAGATTTGTGCACCAGTTTGTACTTACCTACTTCAGATTGTACCTGCCGTTTGAATATCTGTCTCTCAAGTGTGTTTTGAAATCATCTGGAATTTATCACACTTTTTCCATGTTTGCACAGAACAAAAAGCTTAATTATGTCACTGGCGAACTTGCACAGCTCGCTGTGGCGTACTTTCCCAGGCCTAGAGCTGCAAGGAAACTCTCTCATTGGTGGACTTGTCCACACCAGGTAGCCTCCTACAGGCTACTGTGGGGATTGTCCGTCTTTTGGAAAGGCCACTCCTATCTCGTTTTATCCTGGAGATAGAGCAGAGACTGTGACAGCCACTGTGACTGATTGGTGCTTTGGCCACCAAGGAGAGCGGATGAAACTAAGCAAACAGGAAGAGAGAAACAGTAGGGGCGTCTGGGGAAGAGAGGTGAGGAAAAGACGGAGAGGGAAGGAGGACAACCAGAGAGGACTCGGAACTGAGAGGAAAACAGTCCCTGAGCCAAAAACAGCTTCCTACATCACTCACAGATCCCAAGCTTGAGAACAGCTGTGCAGAGTTTGACTCAGGGACAGAGGAGTGATGTAAGCTGTGGGCCGTTCATGTACAGTTCACAGAAGATTTTTGTAGGAGGATAGAAGGGAAATAAATAGAGGTAAAGGGAGATAAACAGAATGAGAAAAAGAAGGTCTAAGTATCTGGAAA